GGATGACAGAATATTTTCTTTAAAGTTTGCTAAATGTTAATGGACTAAACATTGTAACTATAGTTCTTACTTGATAACTTTTGTTATAAGTAATTTGACTGTCTTAAAGTCAAATTCTTTCTTTTTATTTAGACAGAAAAGAGGAGATGATGAGAGGTGTCATTCTGTTAGTATGTCTCTCTTATTGGTTGATTAATAAAACACTGTTGACCAATAGGGCAGCATGATAGGTAGACTAAGATATGAGAAGGATTCTGGGAAATGTATGCTGAGAAGAGTTGTCATGTGATTCCCAGGAAGTGATGTATCTGCGCAGTAACAGTATATAAGCAGGAACTAACAGGAAATCGCTCCCTTCTCTATTATTCTCTTCTATGTGGAGACACTGATCAGATGAAATGTAGACCCTTACAGAGTAAGAGACCCTGACCTTTTTCTGTTAAGAGAAGTCCTTGTGGTGATACATAGATTATTGTAAATTGGTTAATTTAGACAGAGCTAGAAAATAAGAAACCTTAGATAACCACAACAGCTTAAAAACAAATATAGCATCTGCATGTTTCCTTGGGGTAGAGAAGGGCGGTGGGACCCAGCTGGGCCAAGAAAACCCCATGATACAATTTTAAGGTTTCATAATTATTTAAATGGTTTTTGCTAATCTGGTGGCAATGAAATCAATTATATATGGTTCTATGAAAATACAGTTTAAATAAGTCAAGAGTACTTTCTAAAGACATTGCTGTGTACCAACATGTGAAAATAAGAGAGGCAAAAAGGACTGTTTCTTTTCTAATTTTAGGAAGTGGAATGATATATTTGCCATTTGTTGCCTTTTGTTAATTATGCTATGAAAACTGGTAAAGGAAAACAGTCTGTACTATAATTTTTGCACAAAAGGAAGATGAATAATATATACTTTTTCAAGAAAATTTCCCTTACAGTTCTTTCCTTTATTATCTCAGATTTTCATATGCATATACAGTACACTGTTGTATTTGTTTCCTCTAACATCCCCTGGAATGTAATCACAATTAAAGAAGCTAATAAATTTATATTATGTAGCCCTATTAGTAACAGAAATCTAGCAGTTGATTGAATTGGAATACCATTAATTAGAAAAACATCAATGTAAGTCATCAGTGTGGTATTACCTTTGAAAGGATATTTGGCTAATAAAAAGTATTAAATGGTATATTCTTTCACTGTTAATGGAGATGTTGGTCCTGTTCTGTCATTGTGTAAGAAGTTATATTAAAGGTCTGGGCACTAAACATTTCACTAAAAGAACACATTAAATTCCAAACTTATTCACAAGGAACACAGATGATACAGAGAGCAAAATAATTCTGACAAAGGTTTACCAAAAATCAAGCAGTAAAGCTTTACTGTAAGTGAATTCTGTTTCTTTGATTCCTTTTGATTGTTTGGAAAACTATGCAGAACTCCCTAACCTTTCATACTCTATCCAGAACTCTCTGTTCTTTCCCCATATCCACTTATTTTCCAATGTTTGATACTGAGACTGAAGTCAGCTTCCTTCTTCCTCTCTCTGGTCTCTTTATGCTCTCTATTTTCACTCCAAAGTAGGCTGCACAGTCTTGCAAACTTGTATATAGGTCAACAGTGAAGGCACTGAACAAATGCCACACTTGCACTTGGTGTTGTCCCAACACTGGTGACATCACAGGAGATGCCAGTTCTCTCCAAGATATAACAGAGTGTTGAAAGGGACTGCTGATATCATATTGTACAGTACTTGCCTCTGTGCTATCTCACCCCAAACAGACATGAATCCAAGTTGTCCTTTCTAGGAGACCCCAGGACCACAGGGGAAGCCCTTGAGCATCTACCATATCCAACGCCAGAGAGGCTAGCCATGAAAGAGAGTGGTCCTTATCAGAAAGCTGAAGACAGCGATGGTAAGGAGGAAGGCAAACTTTGCCTAATGTTCCCAGTCTCCACATAGCATAAAGGAGACAAACTCCCCCGGGGCACATAAACTGCTCATGTTCCCCCTTGCAGCTCAGCCGGGGCCTTGGAAGGCCCCTTTACCCACAAAAATAACCACCGCTATTGATGGCAGACTGAGGACGGGCTCCCCTCTGATGTTTTCACCCCCTAAGTCAGGAGCTTTGATGGCTGGTAAAGTAATCCATACAGGTAAAGTGGAAGCCTCTCAGATCGATCCTAAGACAGGCTCCATCATCACGGTGGTTCTTGGGTAACTTATACTCCAGCTGCACCTAATTTCTGTTTAACCAGAAAGGGGGAGATGTCAGGGACCTCCGGCCATCAACCAGGTACAGCTGCCTCATGTACTCATAAGAAAAGACCCTCATAGAAAGTACATGACTCAGGACCACCCTGCTACCTGCCAAATTCCATAAACAGAGCCAGGGCTAATCTAGGGCGTAGGCTTAATAGAAGGTAGAATGTGAAAGATAAAGTTAGAGTCTGCAGTCAGGTTACCAGAGGATACACGATGCCCTCCCATCCCACTGACCTTCTGCTCTGCCAGGTTCATAGCAGCTACAGCACATTCCCCATTCCTTCCCCTCCTCCCTTCCCCTATATAAATCCCTTTAGGATGAATAAAGTTGTCGCCTTGATCAGACTCTTGTCTTGGCATCCGTCCTTGTATCCCCTACTCCCCATCTTTTTCCTAGGTGTCCACCAGACCCACGATGAGTGTCCTGCGGGTCAGGACATCTAGCTTTCTGCTCCAATATAAAATTCTTATCTGTGGGGACTTCAAGGCTCACTTTGCAAAAATGCCCAGGATTAGCACTGTCCCTTTGAATATACATAGTCAATAAAATGAGATATAAAAGATGCTGATAATTTAGGCAGGAGACACAGAACAGGAAACATGGGTCACTTGTACTGAATAAGCAATGGGGAAGATCCTCAGACTATTACGGGATTTGGGTGAGTCCAAACAAAGAGGAGTTATGCATGTAATGATGAAAATTTCCCCAGAGCCCCAGCAGAGCTCAAACCATCCATGAGGATGTTAGTGAAGACCCGAGGAGCTGTTGTCAGGTCTGACTGCAGACACCTGAACCTAGGTGAGCACTTACATATCAAAAACAAACAATCCCAGAAAGAGTTTGGGGGCCCAAATGTGGTATTGGAAGGGTGAGAAATGAGTAGTGAGAAGAAGTCAGCCTGGGCTATGGAAAGGCATCATGGGTAAGAAAAATACACATACACGCACAGAAAAACAAGCATGATGTAGATCACTGCTATGGGGCTTCCATCATGCAACATAACCCTTGGTCTGTCGCCATCTGTGAAAATTCCCCTGCTATTTTATTGGCGGCACTGCTGCTATTTCTGGGTACAACACATATCAGAAGAACCTGCAAAAGACAATCAAGGGACCAGGAGCAGGAGAGACTCAGGGTTCTTGCAACACAGAACTTTATTGAGCACACATCCCTTGTCTGCTTATTCTGGGAGCGCATGATCAGCCTGCAGTGCATGTGCTCCAGATCCCTGAGGTTTTTCTCTCCAAATCATTTCCCTGGGCCTCTGGCCTGATGAGGACACCACTCAGTCCTATGAATGAATGAAGGAATGAATGAATGAGGGAACACGCCTCATGCACGTGAGTGAGAATGAATGAATGAATGACTGAGGAACTCGCCTCATGCACGTGAGTGAGAATGAATGAATGAATGAATGAGGAACTCACCTCATGCACGTGAGAATGAATGAATGAATGAATGACTGAGGAACTCGCCTCATGCACGTGAACCCGCCATGCTGCAGTGGATCCAGAAGGCGGGATGAGAAACCGCGCCTGCCACTCCCAGCAGGGAAGGAAGTGGCCTGGAGCCAGCTGTGCGCAGGGAGTTACCGTGGCCCCGCCCACCCCACCCCAGGGTTTCCCCTGAGCTGCTTTTGCCCCCTCTTCCCTGAAGTGACGCTGGCCCTGCCCCTGCTGTCAGTCTCCCCATGAGTCCCGCCCCGCCGGCCGTCAGTCAAGCCCTGACCCCGCCCCACCCCCTGTGGATCACGACATCAATCACCCTGCCTGTCAGTCAGCCTCTAAACCCCGCCCCCTCGCCCCTTCCCCAGGACCCGACCCCCTCCAGACCCCGGGGATCCTGGGAGCCGTGGACGTTTGACCTCCTGACCCCGACGTCCATCCTGGTGCAGGGGGCCCTGACCCCGTGACCCCGGGTGTCAATCAATAAAGACTAAGCATCTACTTCCTGTGAGTGACTGGCGGAGGCTGGGCCCCGGGTGACTGACAGCCCCACTTCCAGTCTGTGAATGACAGGGGCGGGGCCCCGAGTAACTGACAGCACAGTAATGGGTCTGTGGTGGAGGGGGCAGGGTCGCCCTCGACCCTGCCTTTATGGGTGATTGACAGCTCAGGCCTCCATCACATTCCTCGGGCACGGCCTCCCACGCGACCTGGGGAAGGGAGAGGGCGGGACTAACGGGCCACGCCCACAGGAGCCACACCCAGCCAGAGCCACACCCACCACGGTTGGAAGCTCTGGTACTGTCCCTTGATGGGGCCCCTGAAGCCCCGCCCACTGCAGCCACGCCCACTGTTCCAGGCACCACCTGCTTCAATTCCAGTGAACCCGCCCCTGTAGGCCACGCCCTCAGTCTTCCCCGGACCAGCTCCCGCCCTCTCCTCTAGCCACGCCCTCATCCCAAGGCCCGCCCTAACAAGGGCCCCGCCCTCACCAGTTCTGCCGGCTCTGCTTTCTCCCCTATGGGGTCCTTGAGGTTTGGAGCAGGAGCAGACGCCAGAGGGCGGGGCCAACGGCAGGAGGGGCGGGGACTCAGGAGGGGCAGAGACTCAGTCAGTAGGGGCGGGGCTAATTTCAAACACACTGCCTTGCATGTGTGCCACAGGGTCTCCTCCCAAGGAGGGGCGGGCACTCGATGTGGGATTTGCATATTTAAACCCACCCCTCGCTCCGCTTATTTGCATATGCAAATCGACCCCTTCCTCCAAGGGGCCACCAACAGCATCAGGGAAAGGGCGTGGCCCTGTCCTGAGTCAGCAGAGCAGCAGCAGGGTCACCAGCGCCGTCAGCCCCGCCCACACTGACACACGCATCGCCACAATCGCCACTGTCACCTGGCTCCTGACGTCACAGGGCGGGGGGCGTGGCCAGCGCTGCCAGGAGACACAGGGCAGCGGCCATGAGGGGCAGTGGGAACCGGAAGACGCCGGGTATGGCCAGAAATGGAGGTCCGGAAGCCTGTGTGAGGGGGGTAGGGCAGTCAAGGGAGAGGGGGTGGGGACACTGAGGTGGTGACGTCACTGCCGGGGCCCGCTCCCTCCCACAGACCATCGCGCCAACTTCAGTGAAAGCCCGAATTCCGCCTGGCAGTCCTCAATCACCGCCGTAGCGTGACGTCATCGCGCCACCCCGCCTCAGGCTCCGCCCTCCCCAGGTAGCTGCCAGGAAGCGGACCTTAGGAGTTGGCCACGCCCCCTGAGTGGTCACGCTGGAGTCCAGGCCGCCCAGTCCCACCCTGGCCCTGAGGCCACGCCCATTCTCCTCCCGAGGCCCCGCCCCTCGCCACCGAGGCTCCTCCCCGTGTCTCTAAGGCCCCGCTCTGAGCCCCGAGGCCCCGCCCCTCAGCAGGCTCGGCTCCCGTGGTTTTGGCGGCGGCTTCCTGTGGGCCCATTTATACTATTATGGGTTATGCAACTTCCTGCGGGGCCGGGGGCGGACGTGGGTGAAGTCAGCGGCCAGGGCGCCAGTGGCGGGGCCTGATGTCCATCTGTTGTTGCCCGGGAGGGACTTCCGGAAGGCTCATGTCAATCAGACGGAAAGAGGGAGGGACTTCTGCGACCAGCACGGAGGCTGGAATCCCGGAGGGGCTTCGGCTTTTCCGTCAATCAGCCGCGGAAGGGATTGACTTCCGCATCTCCCCTGTCCGTCTAAGGGGCGAAGGCGGGACTTCCGGGACCAGAAACTGAGGCGGGAATCACTGAGAGCCTTTGATTTCCTGGTAAACCGCGGCGACTGTCAATCAGCCCCGGAGGGGAGTGACTTCCGTGTGATCTCCCAGCTTCCTGTCCATCACAGGCAGAGGCTCCAGTCTGTCAAAGGAAAGCAGGCGGGACTTCCTGGACCAGAGACTGCAGGCCTGGTTCCTCTCATGAATATGCAAATGAGAGCCCGGATCGGCTTTCGCTCATTAATATGCAAATCAGCATCAATGTGTCCTCCCCCCATGCTCCTTCACTTCCTCCTGACAGGTAATGGGGCGGGGCCGGACAGGAAGTGGGGTGGTGGGGTGACGTTGTCAGGTGACTGTAGGGCGTGGTGACGTCAGGTGACGGCGGCGATGACGTCGTGGCTGTTCTTACTGCTATCGCCGTGGCTGTCGTCGTTGTTTTCATCACTGTTATTATTATTACTGCTCTGGCTGCCGCTATCTGGCTGTTTGTCGTCCCTGTGCTCGCCGTGCTGGCCCCGCCCCTGCCATGGGAACCCCGTGACCCTGCCCGGGCCACGCCCCACGAGAATCCACAGAGGAAAATGCGGGTTTTCTCCCATTATTTGTTTTATGTAAATCAGGGGCGGGGCCGACTCACAGGGGCGGAGTCATAGGGAGATGGGCGGGGCCAGAGTCGCTGAGGGTGGAGTCACAGGACAGGGGCGAGTCCAGAGATGCAGGGGGAGGAGTCACAGAGCCTTTAAGGGAGGGGCCAGAGGCAGAGGGGAGGAGTCCAGGGTTGCGGGGCGGGGCCACGGACACAGGAGGCAGGAAGCAGTCATAGGGGGCGGAGTCACAGGGAGGCAACCAAGGACACAGGGAGGCGACCAAAGGCACAGGGGTGGGGTTATGGGGCAGGGCCGGTGAGGCAGAGCCTGGCCTCAATTTAGCTTCACTAATTCACCCCAGGTCATTCGTTCATTCATCCCCAGCTGCTCCCCCAGCTCCATCTACAGAGTACAACCCCTACTGTTATTAGTGTTACTAGTGTTATTAATTCTTATTATTGTTATTCGTTATTATTATTGATTATTTTATTTCATTATTGTTGTTATTATTAATTATTGTTAATGTTTTTACAAATAATTATTGATATTCGTATTATTATTTCATTATTATTGTTATTATTAATTATTGTTAATGTTTTTACTTAATGTTTTTGTTATCTGTTATTGTTTTATTGTTATTCATTATTATTATTAATTATTATTTTTACTGATTGTTATTATTGCTTTGTTATTCACTATTATTATTGTTATTATTGCGTCATTTTGGTTATTATTTTATTTGTGGTATTATTATTTTATTATGATTATTATTTAATTACTATTTTATTATTTGCATTATTGCCATTATTTTATTATTATTGTTTGTATTTGTATCATTTGTGTTTTTATTATTTTTATTGATTGTCTTATTGTTTTTGCTATTATTTCTATTATCACACACACAGACGTCTGCACACATACGTGTGATTCACATATAGCATACACGGCATTTGCACACACACTCATGATTCACACATGTCAGGGAGGCCCATGTCATTCGTGATTACATGCACAGACGTCTGCAGACACACATGCATGATTCACACACAGCACACATGGTAAATATGTGTGTATGTATGTATGTATGTATGTATGTATGTCTGACTGTGTAGATTATATAGCATGTGTATGTATTTAAGAAAGTATGTATGTGTATCTGACTGTGTGTAGGCTATGTACCGTATGTATGTATGTAAGCATGTATGTGTGCATGTCTAACTATGTGTAGATTATGTAGCATGAGTATGTATGTAAGCACGTATGTGTGTATGCATGTACGTGTGTCTGTGTTTCTTACCATGGCTGGGGAGTCCAGGAGAAGATGTCAGAGACCCTGTTATGTGAGTTACATGCGGCAGTGAGCTTCTTTACATATGAGTGACATGAGTTACACGCAGCAGTGAGCTTCTTTACATATGAGTGACATGAGTTGCACGCAGTAGTGAGCTTCTTTACATATGAGTGACATGAGTTACACGCAGCAGTGAGCTTCTTTACATATGAGTGATGTGAGTTACACGCAGCAGTGAGCTTCTCTGTACACGAAGAATGGAAGCTGTATGTGTGTCAGAGCCCCCGACATGGGAGTTACATGCAGAAGTGAGCTTCTCTAGACAAATGAGTTACAAGCAGTTTTCTACTTTTTATTAGTTTGTTTTTTTGATTTTCTGAGACATGGTTTCTCTGTGTAACAGCTCTGGTCATACCACTGTGCTGGCCTCGAGCTCACAGAGATCCGCCTGCCTGTGACTCCCGTGTGCCGGGATTAAACACGTGCGCCACCACCACCTGGCATGTTTTCTATTATTGATTATGTTTCCTGTCCAAGGCAGCCTGGTCAGGGTCAGGCACCAGATGCTGATTAGAAAGGAGAATTCTGCTCCATTGAAGAGAATGAGCGTCAGGCAGCGATGAGCTCCATAACTGTTTACACAATGAAACACGGTAAGGAGATCATCCACATATGTACAACACACAAAAAATGATGGAGCTGAGATGGGCATTGGATGTGTGCATGTTTGCGTTTAATCCCAGCACTCGGGAGGCAGAGGCAGGCAGATCTCTGTGAGTTCCAGGCCAGCCTGGTCTACAGAGCGAGTTCTAGGACAGCCTCCAAAGTCACAGAGAAACCCTGTTTTGGGGAAAAAAACAAAAACAAAAAAGAAAACAACATGTAACTGGTCATGTCCATGTATTTCAGTCTACTTCTTTACCCACGCATACCAAGGAAGCATTTGGAAGAGATTTGGGAAGGGATGGAATAAAAAGATAAAAGCAGAAATTGCTGTAATACATTCTAGTTATCAATTTGCAGAAATAACTTTTAAATAAAAAGATTCACTAGAGAGATGGCTCAGCAATTCAGAGCACTTGGTGTTGTTACAGAGGACCAGGGTTCCATTTCCAGAACGCATGCCAGTTAACCATTTGCTGTAACTCCAGTCCCAGGCATCTCCTGCCTTCTTCCCACCTCTGTAAGTACTGTACACAGACAGATGTGGGGAAAACACCTATTATAATTAAATTTTTAACAAGTTAGAAAACAAAAGGAATGGAATTCTCTACAGTGGTGTGACAGCCCCGAGACAGAGAGCAGCCAGGGCCAGTTACAATGAACTCCTTATGGTGCTGCATGGAAGCAGCTGTGGCGTTCTCCCGAGTCAGCCTGCTCAGAGGCAAAAGCAGCTTTGTTCTGAGGTTAACAGAGATCATCACAATCATTAATCTAAGAGCATAGTACAAGTGCTGTTACCTGACTTTTCCCTGAAGTTTTCTGCATTTTTGTCATCTATCTTTTCTAACTGTGAGAATCGTGTCACTGATAGTTAATTTTTAGATCAAACATCAAGATTGATGGGTAGCATAGGATCTAAAACATTCTGTCATATAAGTTATTTTCAGCTAAGATATTGTGGTTCAAAATGAACTTGCCATTCTTTCTATTATTTTTTGATTTATATATGTCCCAGCATTACTTTGAGGTAAGAATATCCCTAAATGTCTTTCATTCTACATTATGATCATGTTCAGAAGTAAATTTGATAATTGAGCATGCTTAGGAATAGGAAAAAACCTGCATGAATGTGTCTAGGCTCATTAAGTAAAATTCCCATGCTTCCTTTGCTTAGGAAAAGAGTAGTTTTTGAAATATCGCCCATACACTCCTTGCTTCCTGAAGGTAAGAGTTCTTTCTCCTTTCTTCTGTCTTGGCTGTTGGGATAACCATTGTTGATAG